TCTCCAAGTCTGCGGGGTCTCTTCCTTGCTGTTTATTTGCGAGGAGGATCTTTTTTCCTCTACCTGCAGCTTCCCTTCTCTCTTCCTTCACACTTTTATGTAATTTCAGTCAGCAGTGGACTTATTTAGAGTGGTTAGAGGGGCAGAAGAGGAGCAGAGAGCGGGTGATTATTGTGTTTGAACAGAATTTGAGGCTTTGGTGTCCTGGCGCACAGCTGGGACTCACAGGATGTCCCAGGGAAGACAATAATAGCAGCAGCACTACTGTGCCGCTGGGTGATTCCCCAACGAGAGATCAGGGCTCCACTGTGAAGGGCGCTGCACAAATGTGGGCACAAGCAGAAGGACCCCATGCAAGGTGTCACTGGCTAGCTGTAAAGGAGGACTAGCTCTTTCCACCCTGAACTCGTGTCTCGCGCTACCAGGTCAGAAGGTGTGGGATGTTCTTCTCTCCCTTCACAGGGAAGGACAGACTTGTGCACTGGAAGTGAGAAGCTTCTGTGGTGGTAGAAAAATTGAGTTGGGAGAAAATAAGCCTCCGGAATGTTTTGCTACGGTTTCCCTTTCCATTCAGATTGCAGTGTTGTAAACTAGACATCTCGTTCCCGTTTTAGCAACTGTTTGCATATGCCGCTTCTCAAGAATTTCAGTCCCCACCTCTTGAGAGCAGGGTGGTGCAGAGGAATTTGGAAACACTCCCTTTGTCTTCTGCTGGCTCCCGTGCCTTGCATGCAGCTACAAAGTGACACCATGTCATGTCATCATTTTGGGATGATACCTCGGGGGCAGAATAGGGTTAAAGCATTTTTTCTCAAAGGAATGCATACTTTTCCTTTGCAGTGTTGTGTCACAAGTCCCTGCCGGCTATGGAGGAAAATACTCCAGAATGGATTTAAATGTGACTGTCACGATATCCAGATTATTGTTACCAATAAATTGTCTCGACATAGTTGTTCTTACAGTATTGTTAACTGTTGCTGTACTGCATGCTGTAGGGCTCCTGTGGTTCTTTAGAAAGTATAGGAATTAGCAGATTTAAATCATGATCTCATTATCTCCCAAGTTCAATATACAATGGCTAGTCAGTCCTTAGCCAAAAGAATGATACGCTGAGTTGCTGCAATCTGGAGATTGGTCAAGAGGACTAATTAATCTTCTGTGGCTGAAACACTGGATTAGTTGAAAACCCTCTACTGTAAACAACCAGAAGATGCTGCAACTATAAATATAAGAGAATAGATTAAGAATCTGAAAGAAATTCCTTCTTGATTGGAAATCGTATTCATTTCTTAAAGTCCTGACAATAGTACGTTAGGAGAGGGGATAGGAACTGAACTGACGAGAAGGAGGGTGAGGCGGGGAGGGCAGGATGCTTCGGCTGCCCATGCTTTGCCTGCTCTCAGGACAGAAGGAGGATTTCATGCTTAGGGTTTTCACGGTGGGCATTGGTCTCAAGTGTCATTTTCAACGTGTCTGCCACGTAACAGACCGTCAAAATCGCATAGCTCGATGGTTGCTTCATGCCGCTCAGGGTCTATTTCAGTATTTTCTTTCTGCTTTCAGGGGTTGTACTCTGTGGAGGAAACTGTTTGCTTGAGTCTACAGAAAAGGAAACTGCTAGGCAGAGATAGTATCACTTTACCCGTACTAATAAAGCAAAGGTAGTTGCAGCTGCCCCGCTACAATTCTTCACTCTGTTTATTTCTGCTCCCAAGTATCTTGCCACAAGGCAAATCTTTTCTGCCAGCAGGATTCCCAAATGCCATTGCTATGAGCATGGCACACAGTACTCGGTTTATTAATGCTAAATCTCAGGAAAGAAAGCTTTTGGGGGCATTTGAAACTTTGACTCAGATATTCGTGTCCACAGAGCTCTCTCATTTGGGTGTGTCTGTGTGGGTGCTGAATCTGGGAAGGTGTATTTGCGGATGGGTGGTGGATGAGCAAAGGGTGGAGTGAGCTGTGGGTCCCTGCAAGACAGATTGAATCTCTCTACTTTGTTAAGGCATTTGTTGAGGGTTTAGGAGAGCTCGCCTGTCAGTGCCAGTATCTGAGATTGTTCTGTCCACCCATCTGTCTGGACTTGGCTGCTGCTATCCACATCATTTTCCAGAATTCATACTATTAACCAGCAGCTGTTACCATGTTGGGCTTTTGACCCCCTGAAAATGGGGGCTCAACCCTTCCTGTTCCCATTCGAGCAACTCAATTCTCAACTGAAAAAAAGGGGGATAAGGTAACCACAGAAAAAAAGCACTTGCATTTCAAAGATCAATCAAGTCTAAAAGCCAACATCCTGTTTTGGTTGGTTTACATGGCAGCTCCTCCGACAATGGCAAGCTGACAGGAAGCGAATGTGAACAGCGTTTTCTATGGGAAACTTGCTTTTTGAACCCACCATTCTGCTAACTGTGTTCTGAAGTATCTGCTCCCACCAACCCTGCCCTCGCCCCTCAGCATTAAACTAACGCTGCAGATGCTAAGCCTCACCCTCCTCTTCAGGGAGTTATCAGCAGGAAATGAAGTCAGCTGGAACGCTTTGTACCATTGACATTTTTTGCTCTAATTCTGCAGCTGCAGCGAAGAACGTCTGAGAGCACACACGCACACACGTGCTCACATGCCAGCGCTCGTGCGTACACACGGACTGGCGTGCCAGGCACTGTGCACCCCTGGGAATTGATGTCGATGGGAAAGCCCCATCACCAAAGATGCTTGAATTAAATGAAAGGGCACAGTTATAAGTGATTCTTGCTAAGCTGTATTGGACAGGGAGTGCGAGACTTTGTGTGTTGCGGAGTGGCCACATAAAAAGTAGGTGATAGAGACTAGCTGAAAGGTTGACTCATTTACGTGATCCTGACTGTCAGCCTGAGCCTGAGTGCTAACATCATGGTTCAGATTAACCAGGCTTCTTAACTTCTAGGCTCTGGGCAAAAGCCTGTCCCTAAGCGGAGTAAAGTTAGGAAAATGCTGCACGGTATAGGGACCGTTTCACCTGCGATGCTTTGCCTGAGTGGCTCTGCTCTTAGTAACAAGAGCACACTGAGGTAGACCACCCTCATTCATACCAGGCCACCTGGGGCTGGCGGGTGGTGTACAGGTAGCTAGGGTCATCTCTTGCAGCACTTGAATTTCTTTGGAGACCTCTGCTGACCCACCTGACTTCAGAGAACAAACTGAGCTGGGATACTAAGAGGTATGGCTGCATTCCATTATTCTAATACAGTGATGGGACAAGTATTACCAGCGTCAGCCATTGCCAGCCTATTTCTAGACTGAACAATTCCTCTGCCAGTTACTAGTTTTAATACGCAACAAGGCTTAATATAAACAAACAAAAAGTTACAATCAGAACATGGTGCTGACACAATCCCTGGTACCCACGCTCGATACAACCATGTTTTTGATTACGTTATTCTCAGGCCACTCCTACTGCCCATCTCTCAACGTCCTAGAGAGCGGTGTCACAGCTGGCCCTCGCAACAGCTTCCTCTGCATGCAGCCCAAGCTCCGACTGAACAGCAAGGTTTTCTGACTGAAAACTGAACAACATTCCTGGTCCCTAACAGGTTTTGCACAGAGGAAGCTTGCATTGCCACTGCCTGTGTGGTGGCTGTTAAAAAGGTAAAAGGACTTTTAGCTGAATGCCAGGCTAGTACTATATTCATTTTACCTATCTTTTAAAAAATACACAGATGAAAGGGGCAGAAGCTAAATTCCCAAGCAAGTTAATTTGGGAACTTTGAGAACGAGAACAAATAAATGCATTATGCACAAGCACGCAACACCTTTTTGTGTTCAGCAAATGTGTGCCATTTCATAATAGTAGTAGCGCTGCATTGTTCGGCAGGGCTGATATCTCCTCAGGAGGATATCTAACCAACATTTTTAGAAACAATTTGCATGATGGGTCTCACGTGGCACCAAGCGTTGGCACTTCAAAGCACTGAGGACTTCAGCTTTTGCTAGAGCTGACTCACAGGTCAGTCTCTTCTGTCAAATGCAGCGGCAAGTCACTTTAATCACTCTGGCACTCTGGCTGTCATTTGGATGCGGAGAGCTGGCCTGGCTCAGAAATCAAGCACTACACACAGCGAGACTGCGCAGCCCACAAGTGTTATCCGGACAAAGAAAGGTTTCTGTTCATGAACAGACTGCATGATCTAGATAGGAAGCCTGGCCCAGCGCATAGCTAGACTGTGTGTCTGAAGAGAAACCTTGCCCAGCCCATCCAACAACCATGCAATCTAATGAGAGAGCTGGCTCAGGGCAAAACCAGCTATGAAGAGGGCAGACAGAGCATGATGATACACTAGCCAGGATGGAGACCTTGCCCACTTTCTGGCTAAAATACACCTTCTCCAGAGACATAGCCCCCACACTCAGCCTGCGGCCCATTGCATGTAAACCACACTGAAATTAAGATTGTTCCATGAACTGGCCAATCCCTGGAGGGAGTAAACTGGCTCAGTCTATGGTGAGATATTACTGTCTATTTACTGTTTTTGTGCTGTAAATGAGAACATCAGTTGAAAAGGAGAACTAGTGGCTAGCAATACTTGACCTTGTTATGCAAGGATGCTGGGAGCCCACAGACATATTGCACCACAACAGAGAGAATCCTTCTCCTTTCTCTGAGATCTAGCTGAGGAAGTGAGAGAGCCTGGGGATTTACTTCACAGAACACATCCTTTCAGAGCAAGCTGAAAGAGTTAAAGACCTTATCCCTCACCCTACAGGTTCATCCCACGCTACCCATCCAAGAAAGAGGGGACCCCTTCGTTCAGTGCAATGTGCAAGACAGTCCATACGCCGGTGTGCACTGCCCACTGCAGAGAGTACTCAGCCTAATAAATCCTGTTCTCCACAGCAGAGAGCCAATGCTATTTGCTTCCATAAATCCTGTTGAGCGCAGAATTCCCACCAGACTCATCAGCCCAAATCCTGCAGGCGGGCTGGGGTTGGGCAGCAGCACCCCTTGGCGGCTGCGGACCGGGATGGCTGTGGATGTGCCGCAAGGCTGGAGGGGCAGGGGGAGGCGAGGAAAACTTGGCAGACTTTGTTTGGACGGATCGTTTTCTCTTGGCCCCTGAGATCCTGCTGTATGGTCCCAGTGGTGGCAGGGGGAGTGCGGGATGATCTTCCACACTCTCTACAAGGTTCACTTTGACTCTCCTGCTGCAGGGGCTGTGCGGCTCCAGTAACGCGCACCCTTCCTGGTGAAGGAGGGACGGCCACGTTCGGCAAATACATACATCTAAACTGCAGGACATAAAAGCTTTCCCCCTTTCTGCGTTTGCTTTTTTCTGAAACAAAATAAAAGAAAAAAGAATTGCCAGCTCTGCTTCCCACATCCTCTTTATCTTCTTTCCTTTCTATCCTTTTATTTTTGCCCTGTGGCACATGCTGTAACTTCCACATACTCTCCATGACATCCCTTCTTTCCTGTGCTGATCCCACCAACCATCTCCTGTCTGCTCTCTGTCACGCTCTCCTGCTGCCCAGTAAAATTATTCACACACTCATCCCCCCACCTCCCTCTACCACTCGTCCCTTTGACTGCATCAAGTAAACACTGACACCCCACCCCCCAGGTTCTCAGAGGGGAGGACTGCTTGAAAACAGAGAGAAACAAGCAGTTTCTGTGTATGCATGCACATGTTGTTGGGGAGAGAAAAGAGGAAGCTATAATGTCTCTCTCTCTTTTAGCTAGAAAAATCTCTAACGAAAAGAGTTTGTAGCAGTTTGTCTTCCTCATCCCCTTCTCCTTCCTAAGCCGTTTCCTCTAGACCATTTTCGTCCCTTTCGTCCACACTCCTTTCACTCCTGCAGAACGGCTACTGTCTTTTTCCCTTCAACACGTTCCACTCCTGCCCCTCATCTAAGTATATTGCATAACCCTACATACATAAAGACAACCTTTCGCGCAGTCTTTTCTCTCACATCTCACTCCTTTTCTTGCCGCTTTTCTCCTTAGCACTCTGCCCTGAAATATCACTTGTCCTCTATCACAAACGAGGCTGCTTGTATTGCTTTGTTGCTGGAGCAGTTGCTACTCGCAAGCTCAGCTACCTACCCGAGGTGAGTGGCTGTACATCAGCGGTTCAGAGAAGCCTGCGGTTCAGAGAAGCCTTTTTTTTTTTTTTTTTTTTTTTTTTTTTTTTTTTTTTTTTTTTTTTTTTTTTTTTTTGCTTTTTGGTTATAACAAAACAGGTTTCTCCTGAGCATCGCCAGGAGAGTGCAGCAGTGGAAGGCTCCATGTGTTGGTGCCCCGGAGGGAAAGCCAGGCTCTCGGCCCACACTCTGCAGGCAAGGGGAATACTGGAGGAAAAATTATTTTGTTCTGCCTGTACACAGCAGGACAGTATGTAAATGGTAGGGAATGGATGCATGGTGTGTTTTCCTTCCTGAATGCAGCCCGACAAAATGATTCATCTGGCCTGCTATAAGCTATGGGTGCTATGGGGCACCCGGGGGCAGATGGCAGTTACACAAAGTTAATTTGGGTTTCTCTGTCCTACATTGCTATGCACGTACTGTAGACATACTTGGTCAGATTGAAGTGGAAAAACGGAAATCTCCCATCTTTTAAGAAAAGTTGAATCAAGTCTCAGTATTACCCCAGGTAAAAACATTTCTTTGTACAAATCTTTATAAAGTGACTGAGCACAAGGTGACGGGTAACAAGAGGCGTACCTCAGTATTTATTTCTGTAAGTAATGCACTGAAGGCCAGGAGGTTGTTCAACTAGCAAAACCAAGTCTTGTAGAAGAGAGGGTTTTGACATACGTCCTGCAGTTTGCAAGTGGCAAGACGTGAGCTATGCCTAGTGGCAAATGATCCTGTCAGCTTTACAGTCCTGAAGAGTTTCAGATAGACCCTGCTCGTTGTAACTAAATGGCAAGGCTTTCCTCAAGGAAGGCGGGACACAGACGCTTGCCACGACACGGAACCAGCCTTTGAGATCGATTTAGCAGTAGCCAGGGACAGCGGGGCCGACAGTGCCACAGCCGCCCTGCGGACCCGACTGACCTCCCTGGCCAGACAAACCAGGGCCAACGCCAGGGGACGGCTGCTGGGCGCCGCGCTGACGCCACGACCCATGCCGGGTCACTCGGACCCTGCAACACGGGTCGGCTCCAAGCGAGCGGGTGCCAGCAGGCGGGCAGAGCCATTCTGCGGGGCTGGCTCTGCTTCAGCT